AGGAGCGGGTCCTGAAGCTGGGCGAGAGCTTCGAGAAGCAGCCGCGCTGCGCCTTCCACACCGTGCGCTGTGAGCCTCGGGGGGGCCGTTGGGACCGTTGGGGCGCGGCTCTGCCGAAGGCGCCCGGGGTTTAGGCTCTGCGTTTGCTCCCTGCGCTTGGCTCTCAGGCGGTCGGCAGGAATCCCGCCAGCAAAGGTTAAAGGCAGCGTTAATGGCAAAGCCGGAAAGCCCTTCCTGGGCGCGTAATTGCTGTCTAGGGAGGGCTGCGCGCGCGGGTTCCCAGGGTGGCTCCGTGGCTCGTAGGGCCATAGTCCTGCTCATCGGGAAGCGCCGCCTCTGGTTTTTGGTGTCTCGTTATTTATAGATGTGATCCCTGAGGTTCAGGCCCGCGCATGTTCCCTAGGGAACGAGCTGTGTGCTTTCCTGGGGGGTGGGGAGGTGGGCAACACTCCCCATGAGCCAACGGGGGGCACTTGCTGGCCACTCTGCAGCTAGGTGAGGGCACGGGGCAAAAGCTGTAAGTGAACAGAAACAAATGGGTGCACTAGAAACTTGCCCTATTTTAAGGAGGACTAAAAATCTCTTTGGATGCCTCCTACCCTTAAGACTTCTTGCTGACTCTTGTAATTCGATGATTTATTCTGAAACCTGTTTTGAAATCTCTCTTTCAGGCCAGCAAATGAGACATAGAAACTGGCACATCTGTCAGCACTATCAAGGGCACATGCAAAATTATCTTTCTGACACCTGAGTTTTTGTTACAGATGAGTGGTGAGGCAGACATCTGTTGGTCAAAAATTCAGATTAGATGTCCACATGTGGATACTGAGATCAGTATCTCCATTTTCTGAAATTTTAACCACCTGGTGGCTATATTTAAAGGCAAAGATCTTTTCTAGTTTCCTATGAAAAACTCCACAGCTACTTTATTCTCATCCTTGTAAGATGCTGTTTGGGGTTTTGCCTTCAACACTGGCTTAGTGGGGGCTGTTAGCAGTATCCTGAGACCAAATTTTTCTGCTGCGTGTATACGCTTGGCTAAAGGCTGTTTTTCTTGAGCAGCTTGTGTATAAGTTGGAGCCGGGCTTCCTAAGCCGCAGTCTGTGCCAACTGGCTGGAGGTTGCAAGCAGGATGGTTTAACTGGGAAGCTCCCCAGCTGTAACAGAGGCCGCAGGCTGCGAGCAGCAGCGCGTGGCACGACGGGCTGCGTGGCCGAGCGCACTGTGGCCAGGGACAGCGCTGTCTAGTGGGGCCCCTTCGCAGGCCTGGCCCTCTGTGTCTGTCCAACTGCAACAGGCTCTTTTTTTATTTAAAACTTATTCTAAGGGATACTTTAGATGCTGAAAAAGGAAAATGGAAAAGAATTTTCATTTTTTGTCATTTCATTTTCTGACCAAAAATAAAAATTCTGCAATTGAAGTATTGGTAGGCTTCTGACATGCCTATTATAGTAATCTGAAAAGGATGATCTAGTCAAATATTGGGGATTCATGTTGTCCTTTGCATTCTCAGTCGCTTTTCTATACCTCATATGTTTGAACTGGAGTTATCAAGAGTTGCTGCTTTGTTTTGTTTGTTTTTTTTTATGCTGAAGCTAGTTATGTGAGGGTTTTCTGTCTTTATCCCTGAAAGGCTAAAAGTGCTCTTTTGTTTTTTTTATTTTTTACTGAAGATTTTTAACATTTAGACTGAATACTGACTTTGACTTCTACTGACTTGTGATCTGATCTGGGGAACGATAGTACACTACTTTAACAAACAAAAAAACTATGCCTTAATAAATCTCAAATTCGCAGCTTTGTGATATTAACCCCAGTATGTTAGATCTTAAAAGATTCCAGAAAAGCCAGTAGATAATCCAGTTGCTTCTTTTTTAGATGACTTTAAGCCAGCATCTATTGATACATCCTGTGAAGGAGACCTTGAAGTTGGGAAAGGTGAACAGGTGACAATAACACTGCCAAATATTGAGGTGAGTTGAGTGGCTGAAGAGTAACAGCCATAAGGAAATGACTTATTTCATTGTTTTAAGTAAATACAGAAACATATGAAGCTGTTTCAGAGCTGCCTGTATAATCTTTAAAATATATTTTATAAAAATTGATCTAAAAACATAGAATTAAACAATCATGCTATGACTTTAAGTGTACGGTGTGTTGGAAATATACTGTTAGCATCACCCTGGCGTGTTGTGTACATAGAAAAGCTTCATGTGGATGTTGGCAGTGCAAGTTTCCCCTTGGTATTTACTGCCGTAGTGCAGTTCTAAAATGGGAAAGACTGGAAGGGGAAAATTTATTACCTGCCATCCTTCACTGCTCTGCTGATACTGTAACGGAAACCTCTTTTGGTGAAAGAGTTTTGCAGGAAGCATGGAAATAAGCATTTATTCATTTTCCAACTAAGCTAAGTGAAATCATGTCTCTGTTAGTCACCAGCTGCTCTTGATCATGGCTACATGACCAAAATTTGAATTAACTGATGACAAATTTTTAAAGGTTAGAAAAGATCAGTTGTAATGGACTTGTCATTACTGTGATGGATTGTGTTCTCTTTATAAGGAAAAGACTATTGCAGTAACACTGATTGGACTCTTCTGATTTAATAGGGCTCAACTCCACCAGTGACTGTTTTCAAGGGCTCAAAGAAGCCTTACCTAAAAGAATGTATCTTAATTATCAACCATGACACTGGAGAATGTCGCCTAGAGAAACTTAGTAGCAACATCACTGTGAAAAAAACAAGGTGAGTGAATTACAGCAGAAATAATTATCCTCTACTTTTTGTGGAAATCATTTTATTGCTGAATCTAAATTGGGATACATTTCCACCCACTTTTATTCCTAGCATTGCTCAATAGAGTGAAAAGCCTGGGTTTTTTTTGGTGGTGGTGGTGATGGTGTTTTGTTTTTCTTTTCCAGCACACTGATATCTTAGCTTTTGAGTATTGACTGGTAGGAAAAATAGGAATGGGTTTTTAAACTGAAAAAATGTATGTTTTGGAAGGAACTAGTTTCTAATGCATTTCTACGGGAAAAATCTGTTAAGTAGCTTGCCTACTGTCTTCTGACTTCTACATGAGAAAATACAAAAAAATGTGAACACATTTTGGTAATACTGATTTCTTTTTTCCCCTCATACTGATTCTGTGTGTGTATGTAGTTTAGTATTAAAAAAAATCAAGTTTACATAAGTCGCTTCTAACAGAATTATTGAGAAGAACTGAGGTAGCCAGGTGTAATCAGGTGACATTGGGTTAAAAAGTCATTGTATTTAGGGGAAAAAAAAAGTCTTAATACATCCATATGTAGTTATATTGCAGTATGAAAATGCACTTAGAAATCTAGTGATGTGGTTTGGAAAAGCATGACAAATTATTTCATAACATAAAGTACTGTTTGCACCTTGTCTTCTGGAATCGTTTAAAATCTCTTGCTTCTTGACCCAGAGCTGAAGGAAGCAGTAAGGTCCAGTCTCGTATTGAGCAACAACAGCAGCAAATGCGAAACGCAACTAAGATTCCAAACAATGTGAAAAATTCTCCACCAAAAGAAAAAATGTTTCCCTCTTCTCCTATGGATGATATTGAACGAGGTAAGCAAACTCTATCATATGAATGCCATCATTCACGCTACCTTATTTCTCATGAGTTCTCTCTTCCTTAGTTTAACTAAGGATGGAATTTGTTTGTACTGTGGCACTGGAATCAACTTGGTCAGTCTCCATTTGACATTACAGCTCATTCTTTCTCTACACTCAACAGCTGTAACATATATGTTACAGTGATTTTCAACTCAAAATACATTTTAAATTAGTGGATGAGACTTAACA